TACATACATACCTCTAGTTTCTAGGTATGTATGTTTCCCCAGACATAAGGTATGTATGTTTCCCCAGATATACATACCTTGGACATACATACATACATACCTGGAGTTTCTAGGTATGTATGTTTCCCCAGACATGTTTCCCCAGACACACATACATACCTATAGTTTCTCGGTATGTATGTTTCCGCAGACATACATACATACCTATCATTTTCCAGGTATGTATGTTTCCCCAGATATACATACCTTTGACATACATACATACCTCTAGTTTCTAGGTATGTATGTTTCCCCAGACATACATGCATACCTATCATTTTCCAGGTATGTATGTTTCCCCAGATATACATACCTTGGACATACATACATACCTGGAGTTTCTAGGTATGTATGTTTCCCCAGACATGTTTCCCCAGACATACATACATACCTATCATTTTCCAGGTCTGTATGTTTCCCCACATATACATACCTTTGACATACATACATACCTCTAGTTTCTAGGTATGTATGTTTCCCCAGACATACATACATACCTATCATTTTCCAGGTATGTATGTTTCCCCAGATATACATACCTTGGACATACATACATACCTGGAGTTTCTAGGTATGTATGTTTCCCCAGACATACATACATACCTATAATTTTCTAGGTATGTATGTGTCCCCAGACACACACCCAGACATACATACATACCTATAGTTTTCTAGGTATGTATGTTTCCGCAGACATACATACATACCTCTCATTTTCCAGGTATGTATGTTTCCCCAGATATACATACCTTTGACATACATACATACCTCTAGTTTCTAGGTATGTATGTTTCCCCAGACATACATACCTATCATTTTCCAGGGAGGTATGTTTCCCCAGATATACATACCTTTGACATACATACATACCTCGAGTTTCTAGGTATGTATGTATGTTTCCCCAGACATACATACCTTTGACATACATACATACCTCTAGTTTCTAGGTATGTATGTTTCCCCAGACATACATACATACCCATAGTTTCTACGTATGTATGTTTCCCCGGACATACATTCATACATACCTATAGTTTTCTAGGTATGTATGTTTCCCCAGACAGACATACATACCTATCATCTTCCAGGTATGTATGTTTCCCCAGATATACATACCTTTGACATACATACATACCTCGAGTTTCTAGGTATGTATGTTTCCCCAGACATACATACATACCTATAATTTTCTAGGTATGTATGTTTCCCCAGACACACACCCAGACATACATACATACCCATAGTTTCTACGTATGTATGTTTCGACATACATACACACATACATACATACCTAGAGGGGGGGGGAGGCAGGGGTTGCCCATACATACCTATAGTTTTCTAGGTATGTTTATTTCCCCAGACATACATACCTATCATTTTCCAGGTATGTATGTTTCCCCAGATATACATACCTTTGACATACATACATACCTCTAGTTTCTAGGTATGTATGTTTCCCCAGACATACATACATACCTATAATTTTCTAGGTATGTATGTTTCCCCAGACACACACCCAGACATACATACATACCCATAGTTGCTACGTCTGTATGTTTCGACATACATACATACATACCTTGATAGGGGGGAGCCAGGGGATACCTGCCAGATACTTACTAACCTCCGAAAACAAAGTATGTATGTTAGCCCAAACATACATACATACCTATTGTTTCCCCAGACATACATACATACCTATCATTTTCCAGGTATGTATGTTTCCCCAGATATACATACCTTTGACATAGATACATACCTCGAGTTTCTAGGTATGTATGTTTCCCCAGACATACATACATACCTATAATGTTCTAGGTATGTATGTTTCCCCAGACACACACCCAGACATACATACATACCCATGGTTTCTACGTATGTATGTTTCGACATACATACATACATACACACATACCTTCATAGGGGGGGAGCCAGGGGATGCCTGCCAGATACTTACTAACCTCCGAAAACAAAGTATGTATGTTAGCCCAAGCATACATACATACCTATAATTTTCCAGGTATGTATGTTTCCCCAGATATACATACCTCTGACATACATGCCTACCTCTAGTTTCTACGTATGTATCTTTCCCCAGACATACATACATACCTCTAATTTTCTAGGTATGTATGTTTCCCCAGACACACACCCAGACATACATACATACCAATAGTTTTCTAGGTATGTATGTTTCCCGAGACATACATACATACATACATACCTTGATAGGGGGGGGGCCGCGCCCCAGGACCCAGACGTCAGTACCGCAACCCAGTACCCATACGTCAGACAGACGTCTGATTTTCTAGGTGTGTCTGTTTCGTCACGAACATTCAGCAGCGGCGACGGGTGTCTTCTCCGAGCGCACAAGTTTGCCCACATGCAACAATGCCAGCAGAGCACAGGCTGCCACCGTGCCATGCAACGTAAAGGCCTTCTTACCAACGGCCGCAGCAGCTTGGACGAGGGTGACCTTTGACATACATACATACCTCTAGTTTCTAGGTATGTATGTTTCCCCAGACATACATACATACCCATAGTTTCTACGTATGTATGTTTCCCCAGACATACATTCATACATACCTATAGTTTTCTAGGTATGTATATTTCCCCAGACATACATACATACCTATCATTTTCCAGGTATGTATGTTTCCCCAGATATACATACCTTTGACATACATACATACCTCGAGTTTCTAGGTATGTATGTTTCCCCAGACATACATACATACCTATAATTTTCTAGGTATGTATGTTTCCCCAGACACACACCCAGACATACATACATACCCATAGTTGCTACGTCTGTATGTTTCGACATACATACATACATACCTTGATAGGGGGGGAGCCAGGGGATACCTGCCAGATACTTACTAACCTCCGAAAACAAAGTATGTATGTTAGCCCAAACATACATACATACCTATTGTTTCCCCAGACATACATACATACCTATCATTTTCCAGGTATGTATGTTTCCCCAGATATACATACCTTTGACATACATACATACCTCGAGTTTCTAGGTATGTTTGTTTCCCCAGACATACATACATACCTATAATGTTCTAGGTATGTATGTTTCCCCAGACTCACACCCAGACATACATACATACCCATAGTTGCTACGTCTGTATGTTTCGACATACATACATACATACATACCTAGATGGGGGGGGGAGGCAGGGGTTGCCTGCTAGATACTTACTAACCTCCGCAAACGAGGTATGTAGGGAACATACAGACCTGGAAAATGATAGGTATGTATGTATGTCTGGGGAAACAATAGGTTTGTATGTATGTATGTATGTGTCCCCAGATATACATACCTTTGACATACATAAATACCACCTGCACTCTTTGGCCACATACACGTCTGTGTTGCACATGTACCCAGACATACATACATACCATACATACCTGTAATTTACTCGGTATGTATGTTTCCCCGGACATACATACATACATACCTACATACATACATACCCTGTATGTATGTATGTTTCCCCGGACATACATACATGATGGGTATGTACGACTCTTCTATGTCTCCGACAAACATACATACCCCTGCTTTTGAGGTATGTACGTTTGGACCATGCATACATACAGACATACCGCTTCTTTTCTAGGTATGTCTCTCTCCCCCAACCGACATACATACCATACATACCTCTAATTTTCTAGGTATGTATGTTTCCCCGGACATACATACAGACTAGGTAGGTCTGACTCTTCTATGTCTCCCAGAAACATACATACCCGTGCTCGTGGATTTGGTACATGTCGCTCCCCTCTGCGCCAGGAAGGCTATTTCACGGTTCGAACGGTGGGCCGTGGTGAAAAAGAGGTGGATGGCAAGAATCCCACGGTGGCGGCGCAGGCAGTGGCGTGAAGTTGGGAGGGCGGAAACATATTAAGGGGTTGTTCTTGGCTTTGCTGACCCCCTTTTGAGACTGCACAGTGATGTACTGTAGTAGCTAGAATATAGAATTGAAACTGCGTGGAGGCTGCTTGCCTTCAAAGCAATTCCAACGTGTGGCGCGTGGTGAAATCCCAGCCAAAATCATCCAGTGAAACAGTTGTTGGCCAGATGCACACATGCACGCATACCCAGATCGGACAGAAACCCGTTGCACACCTCGCAGGTGCAGAGTGGCTCTGGGGGCGACCCGGGCTACAAATGCACCGCGCTGATGGCGGTCGAAAGCGCCTTATGCTGCGCGTTGCAGCGCTCTGCCTGCGCTGAGGGTGGTGTGCATACGCCCCTTGGGAGCGCAAGGGAACGTAGTAATGTGCTTTATGGCGGTACGCATGGGGTAAAGCAATGAGAACATATGCCTAGACATGCCTAGACTAGATGTTGATAGTAGAATGGCTGTGGCAATTTCAGGCACCCCTTTGGGTGTGTGAAGCAGTTGTAGCAGTGCTTCCTATATGTTGCATGATTCGGATCTTTTTTTTGGAGTACATGGCATTGAAGCAAGAGAAGAACACAAGACCAACAAGGTGCCACACACCTTCCAAAGGACGGCGGTTTTCAGGGCAGTGGATCGGTGACGACATGCAGTCTCGGTGTAACGACCGAGGCCGGCCAGCGGCTTGGGGCAAACCTTAGTGGATCGCCTGAACGACGCAGGGATGAAGCTCTTCGTCGAGCCGCGAACTGAGGTCCAGGACGTCCATTCTCTTTTTTCCCCACACGCCGTGTGGACACACAGGGGCAGGGGTTCTTACGGGTCCAGGAAGCTGATGCTTAGATATGCTTAGATCGTTGTTCTTCTTCTTCTTTTTTTTTGGGGGGGGATTATATAAGCAAATTTGAAGCAAACACATGCCCCATCGCGACATTGGTGTCTATTCGGCATTGCTTTGAAGAGGTTTGAAGGCAGAGGTCTTTGCAACCTTGGTGGGAGTCTTGGTGCCCAATGCTCATTGCAACGATGGCATGTGTGTCGATCTTAAAGCCTTCACAAAGACCGACCGTGCACTTGGTTGCGGAAGTAGGAGGTTGTTCTGGCCGAAGGGTAGAAGAAGATTGATTGACGAGCTGAACTATGCTGAACTCGAGCTGGTTGGAAAATGGAATTGATTGGCGCCAACACCTGAACTTGAGGAGGTGTTCGGATCACTATTAATTTGGCATCCAAGGCCATGAGCTGAACTAGCTGTCAGGCAAGGCGGAGGGTCGAAGTTCTTTGGCTTGCTCTTGCAAACTGGCAGGTTGACGCGGTTCGGTCGTGCTTTTTGAAAAGCTTGCCTTCACAAAGTGTTGAAACTGTCGTTTCAGAATGTGAAATGTTCAAAGCAGCATGGCTTCAGCTTGACCTTGACACCCTTATGGATCCAAAGCTTGTGGCCAGTGAGATCGTCTTTGGTGGTCCATGTTGCGGGGCCAGGTGGGCTCCAATTTTCGCCTCGACAGAACGAGGCCCGACTGCATGCTCCACCCGCAGGGCATGCGCGGATCCCTCCAAACAGATCAGGATTGTCCGAGGATTGGTTGCCCTCAGAGAGTCCAACGGTTTAGGAATTGCAGACTTGAGGGTGAATTGTCAACTTGCTATTGCTTCAAAACCCCTCCAACTTAGCAAGTTGTGCCTGCAACTTGCAGGACTTCCTCGTGGCACCTGTTCAAAAGGTGGCCACCGCGCTACCACGACTTGTATATAAGTCCCCCTGGACGGAAGACCAATCCACTGACCGTTTTGGCACTAACATGGGGAGCCCCACTGTTGTGAAACTGAGTCATCAAAGTATGCACGACTCCTAGGTACTACCTACTTACGGCTGTTTTTCAAATTGGCTTCCCTTCTTTGGGGTTGTTCCGATGGCACTGTTTTTCCGGGTTTTGTTGCGACGTGGTTACCAAAACCCTCTAAATTTTAAGCATCTTTAAACACCTACCGAATGTGGAAAACTTAGGTGCTTGAGATATATAGTGGTTGCAGAGCAGATCATGGCAGAGGCACCCAGTTGATGAAGCTCCTTTTGCAAACGCAACGCCTCTCACAGCTGTCCGCCAGGCCCTTTGTTGTACAGTCCACTCCGCACCACAGCAGAGTGCGGGTGAAGCAGTGTGGAGCGGTTGGAGGTCAACAGGATGTGCTGATCCACTCATGCTTGACACAGCATCATTCGCAGCTAGGTCCATCATGGGAAGAAGTGATGGTATTCCAAAGTCTTTCTTTTCTGAAGCACTTCCTTCTGACAAGATATCCAAGCTGTGCCTCGTTTTGCTCAACACGACTTCTCGTGGAAAAAAGGCGCAGTGTGTGCCCATCGTCGCTTCATCGGAGACCAGCCATGGCTGGCTGCTCCTGGGCTCGTGGATGTCTCGCTGTCTTTCATGGTTGTCATCCTCAAACACGGAAGTATAATGAAGTATAGAACCAAATATATAGATCCATAGCAGACGAGCATCTCGTCCACTTCCACTTCCGCAGTGGGCGTGTCTTCCACATCGCAGAGGGTGTGGGAGTTGCAGAGTGGACTTGAGGGTTGGATTGAAGTGACTTAGTGACTTGAACTTGTCCAAATTGGCTGTGTGTAACTTGAGGCAAACACATGAGGCTTTTGCAGCTGGGCACGAGGAAGAGACAAGGAAAAGAACAGTCAGCAAACAGAGACGGCGAATATATGAGACCCAACAAGCAGGTTCTTCTTAGCGGCTGCTCAGCAACATCTTCCTCACGTTTGTTTCACACTTCTCAGATCCAGAAATTGAAAGAAGCAAGGCTCAACCGCAAGAATCAACTCAGCCAGACCCATCTGGTTCCTACTCGTGCTTCTTATGGTTTAACTTATCCGGCTTGCACGTAGCGCGGGGCCTAGAGACTTATAGCATCCTTATAGCTCTTGTACTGCACATCGCCATGCGATCGCCGCTGGCCATCGTGCTTCTGCTTGGCCTGGTCGCCGTCAGCTGTCCTGCGGCTCGACCCAGCTGTCCGTTGTGAGGGGTCGGGGCGGCGTTGCTTGTGGCTCTTGAAGGACCACCGGACCCGCTGGATGGATCCAAAGCAAGCCATCCCCAAGGTGTTGGGATGGTTCTTGGTGCCAGACTTGCCACATGTGTGGAGAAAAGCGCTTTTATGGACCATGGTCATTGGCATGGGATGTCATCAGTGATGTACTGACTTCAAAAATCAAGATCTTTGACCTACCGGCCTTTGGAAACAGTTCCCTGAAGTGCAGACTGCACCTTGGCCCCTTGACAGCCACCATTGTTGGTGGGCACAGATGGGAACTGATCCGTGAAAACCTTCAGGTTCGGGGCTGCTGCGAATCCCCCACCGGTGGATGCACAAATCGAGCCCCAGGCCTTCTGCGGACCAGCCCTGCGGCACTGGCAAGCAGGCCGTGTGAGCGGCATCGCGCGAGGTGCTTCTGAGGACTGCTTATTTGATAAAAACATGAAGCTTCATCACAACCAGTTGCAAAAACCGGGACAAATGGTGGAAAGAGAAGCCAATAATATAGTTCACCCCGACCCCCCCGAGATCTAAGCCTTAGCAGTTCTGAACTCGTTTCATGGTTCAGTCAGATTTCCCTGCTCACTTTCCCCCAGCTGCTGAAAAAAATGCACTGCCGATTTCGAGCCGATGGAGTGCCGGCAGTGGAGGAAGACCCAGATGCCCCAGGGGTCCCTGCCTGGCGCACGGGCATTGCGGGGCGAAAGGGCGCCTTGGGCTTCCTGGGAGGTTTGCTGCTGGTGACTCGGAGGAGTATTCAGGTGAGGCTTGGAATAGTGAGAGGGGAGTGGATGAGAGCAGAGGAGAGGAGAGGAGAGGAGAGGAGAGGAGGATGGTTTGGAGGATGGCTTCAATAAGGATTATGATGGAAATTAGGGCCGGGTTGATAGTAATTTGAGAGTTTGAGATTGACATTGGATGGTAATTGAACTTGGGGAGTGTTGGGTTAGTGCCACTAGACTTTGACTCACTAACATGGAAGTGGACAATGGCCCCTTGGAAGACTAGTTTCTCCTACAAACCGGGACAGTATGTCCAAAACTCTTTAAGTTCAAGCTCCTTCCGTCCGTATGCTATAGCTCTCAAGGCAAGCGTTCCAATGATTGAGTAAGGAAACCTTCGTTTAAAGGTTGCTGGACATCAAGTAGGTGTCTGGCATTTGGCTTTGGAAGGCTGTGTGCCAATGAAAATTGCCAAGCTCGACGCTGACCGAGGTAATCTTATACATCTCCAGCAAGGACTGCCAAGCGATGCATAGGTGCTACATGGTGCTACTCATGGTACTCTCCAGGCTTCTACTGCCAGAATCTATTGACGGGGGATGAACAATCGATATTCAACATTGAACATGTTTTACAGCATGATGCTTAAGACATGCCAAACCCAAAGGTCTCAGAACCATCTGAAACACCAAGCGGCACGGTGCGCGAAACCCCGAATCACCAGGATCAGGAGACTCGAAATCTCAAGCTTTGCGTGCGGAGCACCTTGGCAGCCCAGTGGCCTCCACCCCTGGCTGGGCTGGAGCCCAGTGACCCTCGTGAATATTCTGAAAACGAAAACCGCCAGCAGAGGGTCATTGGAGGGATCACAAGAAGAACAGTAGAGCACACCTTGGCACTTGGAGAAAAATCCGGGATCATCTCAGACTCGGGACGTGGTGTAGCAAAAACAACATCAGGGAGGCAGAGGATCCACCACGACCTTTCTTTCTGATTTGTTACCGAGTTTCTATTGCCTGCCCAGAACCTCAGACTGAGGACGTTATTACTGTATAGTCAGTGAGTACACTGTAATGATGGACTTGTGTGCATTTGGTGCTGATACTTCACAACGAAGTTGGGACAACCATGCACACTTCATCCTAGTTAAAATCCAGGCTCTACAACAACTCGCAATGGGGATCCTCAATGCCGCTCCCACCAGATCAGCGAACGACTCACTGAACTTGTTCGGGCAGAGTGACTCACTGGGCCAGTGAAGCAACGCCCAAGATGGTTCTTCGATGTTCTTAGCTGCGTGGCGTACAGGTGGCACGTCATCGACTCCTCATTTGATTGACAGTGGCCACGTTGGGACATGGTCCTTTGGTGGTCGACATGATTGTCCCACACGAGCAATTGCTACACATTTGCAGCTCCTCGAATAGCATTCCGTTATTGCCAGTGGTTTGGGGCAACTATATACGATTATATAAACGTTACTATGCCAAGGCAGCCAAAAAGGTTTTCAACTTCAACTGTGTAGGCAAGAAGTTTGAAGAAGACTTCTTCAACGATCCGAAGAAAGCTGCCTGGGCAGAGTCGAGTCTTGGACTACCTGAGCCGACGGAGGCCAAACAGGTTAGGAGAATGAGCATGAGGTTTAGATCATTTTAGATCCTAAGGTGGCTCCTGCATTTGTCAATTGAAGGCTTATTTGGATCACTTAAACTTAAGCAGGCAACCCGTGTTGTGTGTATTGTAGCAGGTGGACGTCCTCATTGGAGGCTATTGTGGACACGGGCCACGGGCCACGGCTAGAAGCCGGGAGACAGGTAGACGACTTGCATGTTCGACTCCCCCTTTGAGAGCTTCCATGTCGTTGGAAATGGCAACCATTTGTTGTGGGGAGGGCTCCTGAATTCTACAAACAGTGTGCAGGCCTTCAAGCAGACTTTTACAGAACTGATCGATTCCGACTGACTTTGGTAGATGGAAGTGTCCGCAAAGCCCCCTGTGAAGTCCCACCGGCCAATGACTGCAGGAAAGGCTACAAGGCGCTGCAAGACCCCAACTGTGTGGAATGGCCCGAGTTCTGGGAGCGGCTGAAGCCCTTCTGAGGCCGAGAGAAGTGGCTGCAAGCTGGATGTTTAAAGGCTTTAATGACTGTTGATCAATGAAGCCTCACGGTTGGTGGATCACTTTGAAGTGTTCTCACCCTGAAGTGTTCTCACCTTGCTTTGATGTGGTGCTTCCATAAATTGATGCCCTCACCTTCGGCTACTGTAACCACCCCCACATACAATCTATGTCAACACCGATTTCTCCGTATATATTGGTTTGCTCGGAAAGCAAATCGCAAGGCCGCTCCTGCTCTATGAGTTGTCGTGGCCAACTGCTGTGTGAAAAAAACAGGGCCGGGCGCGGAGAGAGCCCTGCACGAGCCTGTGAGGACTAAGGCTCCTAAGACTAGCAACTAGTGGACTGCCAATGCAACAGCCTTGAAGAAATATATAAGTTTGTTTCTGGAAGATTGAGCATGACACCCGAGCGCAAAGGGCAAGACTGCAAGACTAAGCTAATGTCCAAATGTTGCTAGACTCTTCTGGTTGTGGATGCTTCTTGCGGAGAGCACTTGGACACATGATTCAATCATGATTCAAGTGTCTTGACTCGAGTCTAAACTCGATAGGCGTGCCATGTTCCTGAAAGCCTTGACAAAACTTTGGACTCCCAGCCCTAGCGTGACCCATGCTCATCTGGGCTCAAGACCCTTCCAGGTGGGGTGTGGAAGGGCTCTGTGGGGTCTGTGCCCTGGGGTAGTTGGCAAGAATTGTCACGAAAACCCCGCATTCGCAACCTTTGAGGGAGGCAGACTACTGACTGTACATTAAACAAACGACCAATCCAATGATTCTAAACCAAGATGCTCACCCAAGCTTGCACCCCCAACATTGATCAAAACCTGGTTAAAACACCAAAACACTGCAAAGACCTCATCAAATCATAGCAGAAGCATGCATAAGCTCCAGTGGGTTCTTGTTACTCCGAACAGCTCGAAGAGCTGCTGCATTTTTCAGCCAAACTGATCGGCTCCAATGGCTGAGACCGATGGGTCGAAGCCTTTAGAGACGGAAGAGACGACAAGGGTCGGCGCCGGGCGGAGCTGAGACGGGCGGAGGCGGAGGCCTTCGTGGCATCTTCTCATTAAGGAACCAAGAAAGGATTCTCGTCTACTTAAAGGTCCACCGTGGTTAGTAAACACTTAGCACACATACTAATCATTTACAACACATACGAAAACACTTAGCACACTTAGCTATGTGCACTTAGAGCAGTTAGTAAGTGTCCTAAGTGTCTCCCCAAAAGGGTTCCAACCCTGTATGAGCCGCTCTTCCCTCCTGGGCACGGCAGCTGCTGGCGTCACCTGCGAGGGGGCCAGCGCATGTCAGA